GCTTCCTGCTGAGCCAGGAGCCCAATGTGGGGCTCCATCCCAGGACCCTGGGATCATGACCTGAGCCAAAGGCAGACACTTAACCATCTGAGCCACCCAGGCACCCCCTATTTTGTTATTTTCTTGACTTGAAGCAGGCTTAATTGACTTAAGTATGTCAGATTACCTAAAGATAATGTAAAATAAAATGTAAGATCTATACTGGTAAATTACATAAATGAGTTTCCTTATTAAATAAAAAGTCCTACCCATCTAGAGATAGGAAATGCACATTTTTCTGACTCTCCTATGGAAAGAATGAACAAATGTATCTCTTCTTCAAGAAATTCTAAGACTCCAAACTACTACAAACCCACTTTGTGAGAAAAACAATACTAGAAAAGTATATTGGGGCATAGATAAGTTGGTGTAAAAGTTTTTTATTTCTAGATTATTATTAGACCATCAATCTTGTAACTGTAAACAAATTCATTTTAGAAGGAATTGATCAAAGATAATGTACCAGAACTAAGAAGAAAAAAATTAAAAAGTTGTTTTATCAGAGTCACTCTCCTATAAATCTTAGTCTATCTCCAGTTTCCTAAAATGTTGAGGAAGTACTTTACTGGATTTTAATTAATACTGCTAAATATTGTTAACAAATTATAATAATTTTAAGTGTCATATTTGGAGCCTTAAGGTTTTAAATCTCTGAAAATACAGCCCACCATCATCAGTCTGTTTTAAAGAAACCTTTTGTTTATTTATAAACCTTTGTTTATACCAAAGTATTCTCAATTTCAGTAGCTAATGTATAGTTTTTAGAGTAGATTCTTTAAGAAAACAGCATTTCTCAGTATTTTTCAATAGCACTTGGAATCAACACACTCAAGAGATTATACTAGTTTTACAAGAAAGAGGCTTTTAATTTTAAATTCAGGAGGTGGTAAGAGGAACTAATTCTAAATGTTGTTTTTTTTTCCTTAAACAATTTATTTCTCAGTAATAGAAAGTAAATTGGGTTTTGGGTTTTTTTGGTAATAATTTCATCAATAGAAATATTGAATATTACAATTTCATATTTTTATATAGTTCATTTGAAATGTAATGAATTTATCAAAATAAAAGTATATGTTTGCCAGTGGTGAGCAATATTTGTAACTAAGTAATTGGGGAGTTCTGTAACTGACATTGTTGGGAAATGCAAAGGATTAAAAGCTTCCTAGTAATAAAGTTTCATGTTAGTATTGATTTTAAAAAGAATGTTGAGACTGGGAGAAACAAAAGGACTTGGTGTTGAAATCAAAACAAGCTATCCCAGATCCAACCTGGACTGCCCAAACCACTAATTACTTTCATTTTCCTTGCTTGTGTATAACTGTAAATATGTGCTGTGTCCTCAAACAAAAGATTGGATACTGTTTTCTTAAGCGGGGTTATTTCCCCTTTCCTCCCTTATCTAATGATTAATTTTAAAATCTCTATGTTTTTTCAATAAGTCTTATTTCTAATTATGCTTATATACACTTATTTTATTCATATTTGTTAGTATGGATTTATATGCCTCATACAAAGAAATTAGCTAGGAAAAATCAGAAATTCTTAATTTGTAAAACTTAATTTTTAATCTGGAATTATAGCTCTTATCAACTATCAGCTTTTAAACCTTTCTTTACCTTGATAATTAAAGAGGGATAATTATTTTCCAATTAGCCAGGTAGTAGCCTTGTATTATAACTTAAACTATTATTTTATTAAACTTTTTTTTCTACACCTTTTTTTTCTGCACTAGAGGACCAATGCAAGTTAATACTAAGGCAGGATGAGAATCACTTTTTTTCTTAAAGTCCATCAGTGCATACGAAAAAACACATTAAAAAAATATCTTTAGGGGCGCCTGAGTGGCTCAGTTGTTAAGCATCTGCCTTCGGCTCAGGTCATGATCCTGGGATCCTGGGATCAAGCCCCACATCGGCCTCCCTGCTAAGTATGAAGCCTGCTTCTCCCTCTCCCACTCCCCCAGCTAATGTTCCTTCTCTCACTGTGTCTCTCTCTGTCAAATAAATAAAATCTTAAAAATATATATATCTTTAGGGGTGCCTGAATGGTTCAGTCACTGACTCTTGATTTCAGCTCAGGTCATGATCTCAGGATCATGAGATCAAGCCCCATGTCAGACTCCACACTGGGTGTTGAGTCTGCTTAAGATTCTCTCTCTCCCTCTCCCCCTTCCCCTCCACCTTGCACTCATGCTCTCTATAAAAAAAAAAGGAAAAAAAATGTGTGTGTGTGTGTGTGTATCTTTAAACCAAACATAGAATATTCCACATATCCATTTTTCAGAATAACAGGAAATCCGTAACTTTTCTCATTAAATACACAGCTTATTTCTGTATTGTAGTCATGTTAGAGAGTAAGAATAGAGGAAGTAGAAAAAGAAAAGACAAGACATGGGATGAAATTAAGCACAGAAAGATAGACTAAGTAATATGAAAAGTCAAATGGAAATATAAAAAGAGGTATCCAAATACCCTACCCTCCAAAAATGAAGGTGGCAGTTGAACAGTGAGAAAGCAAAAGATACATAAACTTTCCATTTTGTGACCTTTGTAATCATTGTTATTTTTCTACAAAATACAAGCACAAATAAGGATACCCAATGTTCACCTTAAAGGTTGATTAAAATTCAGATAAAGTTCAGGCCAAACTAGATTTTCTCCGGTAGAAGTTTCTTCTATCCTAAGTCTTTTACTTTATCCTCTCCTACTTTCTTAATGTTTTTGGAAATATTGACACGTAATTTTTTGGCTTAATTTTGAAATCTTACTATGTTCGCAGATTTAAGGGCTCCATATATCTCTAATCAATAAAGATATTATTTAGATATTATAGTAAATGATTTTGAACTTGGTGTGTACCTGTTACTCATGTTTGTATTTTCTTCATGTAGATCATACATCTGTGACCCAGAATGAATGGGAAAACAAATCAGGTTCATTGCCCTCTACATCATATGGAGATTCCTTTCCAGAAGACTGTACATTTCTGTATGTATATAAGTTAAATTTATTTATGTTGTTAATACCTCCACTCCCAGAAGGAGATTTACTCTTTCTGATCATTTGACATAAGAGTAGATAGAATATATAAAAAAGACTTTTTCCCATCAAAAGCTTTAAAAGTTGTAAATTTTAGTATTTTATGTAGGATAAAGATTCATGAGTCCCTTAAAAAGTTGTTTATTTGCTAATATCCCTAGTAATCAAGTCTTTCAATAAAATTTAGTTTAAGGTTTCTTTGTGTAGGGGTGCCTGGGTGGCTCAGTCAGTTAAGTGTCCAACTCTTGATTTCACCTCAGATCATGATCTCATGGGTTGTGGTATTGAGCCCCGTGTTGGGCTCTATGCTCAGCAGGGAGTCTGCTTGAGATTCTCTCTCCTCTCCCTCCGCCCCTCCCTCCACTTGCGTGCTCTCTCTCTCTCTCAAATAAATTGTTTAAAAAAAAAAATACTTCTTTGTGTAAATTATTAATATACTGAAATCTACCAAGTTGGCAATTTTTTAACTAAAAAAATACTTTTCCTAGATTATTTATTTTTATTTTTTTTAATTTTATTTTTAAGTAATCTCTATACCCTATGTGGAGCTTGAACTCACAACCCTGCGCTTAAGAGTCACATGCTCTACCGACTGAGCCAGCCAGGTGCCCCTGGATTATTTCTTCTAAAAGAGTATTGGAAAAGGGTGAACAGTATTTCTTTCAGTATCATTTCAGCTTTTCAAATACTTTAACAGCTCTAAATTAGTATCAGAAAGCTTATGAGAATAGGCTAAATTTTTCTGACCTTTTCTTTCTTCTTTTAGCATTTCAGTAAAGATTCCTTAGGATAAAGTAAAATTGTATAAGAGAAAATCTGACGCTCTCACACATAGTCTTTATTTTTAGTAGGTAATGCCAGTACTAAAACTTTCAAGAACTAGTTTAAGGGAAGTTTCTGAAACTATTTTGTGCTAGTCCAAGGAACAGAATTTCAAAAAACAAAATGTCTTTATAGAGAAAGATTTTAAATTAATTGCCTTATTTTGTTTGTCCTTTCATATTAAATTGACAAAAACATTGTCAGTGTAGAATTCTTTATTGTTTTAGGGTTTATGAGAATTGTAGATTGACACTATTTTACATATGATTTGCATTTGCGAATATTGGAGATGTCATTACAATTTGAGTCTAAAAGACTCATAAAACTTATTTTACAATACTTTTAGAGAAACCTAGAAATTCTGGTCTTCTGCTATATAGCATAAAATTTCATTACCTTTTAAAAGCAAGTTCAATCACTTTAAATCACTAAAATATAAGATTCTTTTTCATATAAATTACCACCAGTCTCCCATCTTCTACTTATTTTATTTTATTAAAAATTTTATTTTAAATCTAAATGCAGGAGTTGGTTTATTCCTAAGTGTCTCTTTTTGGTTTTAAGTTCATTTTCCTAGCTTATCAGAATCCTTTTGAATTTTGAATCACCTTTTATATTGTCTTTCCCTTCTAGCTTTTCTTCTACAAATTTATTAAATGAGTTTCTAGTCTTTGTTATAGTCATGAAAACAATATTGGATAAGATAGGACCAAAGATAAAACCTTTCTGGCCCACTGCTCCTTCATTACTCTTCAGAAAGAACTGTTGGACCAACTGTGAATTTACTTACCTCTACCACTATTCCACCTACATTTCTCTATCTTACTGACAAGACTATCAAGATTCACTGCAGTAGCATTCTGTATCGTTGCCAGACATTATCAAACCTTGTCAAAAAGGAAAATTAATTTAATTTGTACTTTTCTTACCTAGTCCATGTTGGCTTTTCAAATTCTCAGTACTTAAAAGTCACATCCTTGGGGGCGCCTGGGTGGCTCAGTTGGTTAAGCGACTGCTTTCGGCTCAGGTCATGATCCTGGAGTCCCTGGATCGAGTCCCGCATCAGGCTCCCTGCT